ACACGCACACGCATGCACGCAATACAGGCACAGAAGCGTGCACACGTAATGTGTGCATGCAGGCACATGCATGCATACAGCAAGGCACGTATATAGGCACACGTGTAGGCACACATGCACATATATGTGCACACGTGTAAGCACAGACGCACACGTGTACACACAATAATGCACACATACAGGAACGTGTATACACACACACGTGTACACACACATGCACCACACACGTGTTTTCCCTTTTCCACCTCCTTTACTCTAATGCAGCCCGGCAGGCATCTGCACACCCCAGGGGAGTGTGGCTTCGTGGCAGCATAGGGATTTGGGGTGAAGCTCCCCTGCGAGCCTGTCCCTCCGTGTAGGGAACCCGCTGGCTTCTCATGGCTGTAGTCACCACTCCCCATCACCCGTGTGCTGAGCGTCTTCTGTGCTTGGAGCCCGGAGAGTCCAAAGTGGGTCTGCCCCACAAGGAGGTCACGCTGAACACTTTGGGGACTCTGATCCAATGACCTGGCAGCCCTGAGTCAGGCCTGCTGGGCTCCGTCTGGGCCCCTGGGACTCCGGTGGCCCCGGGGGCAGTGGCCACAGCTCTGCACTGATGAGCATGTGGGCATTGCCAGTCTTGCGTGTCTGCAGTAAAGAAGCATATAGTGGGTCCCACCATGTGTCTCCACGTCCACACACATGCGGTATCTGGAATCCCTCCCGCAAAAAATAGGCAGATTTCTCACCTGGATAGGTTTTTGTAGTTTTTTATATTTATCCATATTTTCATGTGCACTTATGCTTTTCTTTGGGAATTTTATGACTTCTTCTTTTTTTTAAAGATTTATTTATTTGAGAGAAAGTGCAAGTGGGGGTGGGGAGAGGCAGAGGGAGAGAATCCCAAGCAAAGCACAGAGCCCGACATGGGGCTCGATCTCAGGACCCTGAGGTCACGATCTGAGCCCAAAGCCAAGAGTATGACCCTTAACCGACTGACCACCCAGGTGACCGACCCAAGGAATTTTATAACTTCTTAAAAAACATTCAAACCCTTGATACATATGCAGTTTATCTTGATGGGGCAGGATCCAGTCTGTGTATTTCCCACACGGCTATCCACTGTTCTGTCAGCTGGACTCCCACCGTGGCCAGAGACCCATGGCTTGAATGACCTCATGGACGAGAGAGCCCCTGGGGGTCAGGCTGTGTCCCTGCTGAGCCTGAGGGGCAACAGCACAAACCCAGGTGTAGGCACTGGCCAGTGCCCCCCAAATTCATGTCCGCCTCCACCCACAACCCTTGGAAGGGGGCCTTTTGTGGAAATAGGGTCTTTGCAGATGTGAAGTGAAGGATCTGAGACGAGCTCATCCTGGGTCAGGATGGCCCTAAATCCAAGGACAGGTGTCCTTACAAGAGACAGAAGAGGAGACACAGACCCAGAAGAGAAGCCACATGAAGACAGAGGCAGAGACGGGAGGGATGCGGCCACAAGCCCAGGGACGCCTGGAGCCCCAGAAGCTGGAAGAGGCAGAAAGGACCCTCCCCTGGAGCCTCTGGAAGGAGCTTGGCCCTGCCCCGCCTGGATCTCAGCGGCCTTGCCCTGCCTTGATCTCAGTGGTCCTGTCCCACCTGGATCTTAGACTTCCAGCCTCCAGAGTTGGGATACATCTAATTTCTGTTCTTTGAAGCCTCCCAGTTTGTGGTACTTTGTTGAAGGAGCCACAGAAAACTCATATACCCGATAGATAATAATTGCAGAAAAATGTGAACATCTAGGTAAGGTCAAAAAAAATTTTAAATCCTCTATTGACATATATTTACCTGTATTTTAAAATTATATATTTTAATATACATAACATATGGGTCCATTTATATATGGGGATGATCCATTTTTATATATAAAGATAGATACTATGAACAGAGAACAAGATCGAACCATACAATTTTTCCATCTGCTTTTTTGCTCAGCATAGTATTGCCCGCATTTCCGACGTGGGCAAATACGGAGTTGTCCTGACTGTGTGCACTCCGCTCACATTTGTATGTGAGCATATGTCACGGAGACTGTCCCGTGTGTGGCGACCACCAGTCCCCACCGTGGGCAGCTTCGCCGGAAACGTGCAGGGGGCGTGCCTTGCTCGCCCACCATCGCTCGTTCAGCTGAGTCCGGGACTCTCTGAGGCTACCGTGCCGAGTCTCTCCCGCTGGTCGGGCCCGTGCAGCCACCTCTCCGCCCCCGGCCTCCTTGTGTCCGGAGCCCCCGGCCTCACCAGCATGTTCAGGGACAGATACATCCCTGCACATACTCCCTGGTGACCTGAGTCCCTAGGGTTTCCCCTTTGCCCGGGGGCTGTTTTCCTGGTGGGGGGCATGTTTTCTGTGGGTCTCTAAGTACTCTGTGTGCAGTCGGGATGAGGTTTTCGGGTGGGCGTCCTGGGGATCAGCAGAGAGTCGTTCTGGGAGGTGAGGAGGGACACAGAGGTATGCCCGTCCCAGGGGCTCCATCCCCTCTGTGCCCCTTGGATGCAGGTGGCCTCCGCGGAGGGTGTGGCCAAGTAGCTCCCTTAGACGGCAGATGTGGGGAGGGACGCAGCAGTGTGTGGTCGGGGACACCCCGGCACCACTGGGGAAAGAGCCCCTGGTCCTGAAGTCACCACCGTCTGGGTGGCTGTGAGAGTGTCCTGGGGCTCCTTTAACGAAGGACCACAGCCTGTGGCTTCCATACCACACACAGGGACATCTCACAGCTCTGGGCCCAGAAGTCTGCACAGGTCTGACCTCTAAGTGCCTGAACGGCTAGCTCCTTCTTTTTTTTTTTTTTTTTAATTTTATTTACTGGAGCACCTGGGTGGCTCAGTCGGTAAGCGTCTGCCTTCAGCTCAGGTCGTGGTCCCGGGGTCCTGGGATCGAGTCCCGCGTCGCGCTCGCTGCTCCACGGGAAGCCTGCTTCTCTCTCTCCCGCTCCCCCTGCTTGTGTTCCCTCTCTCGCTGTGTCTCTCTCTGTCAAATAAATAAATAAAATCTTTAAAAAAAAAAGATGCCCAGCGACTGAGCCCCCCAGGGCGCCCCAGGCCAGCTCCTCTGGAGGTTCCCCGGGAGAATCTGTTTCTCTGCCGTGTCCAGCTTCAAGGGGCCCCTTCCTCCACGTTGAAGCCCGCAACATGCCTTCTGACCACCTCCCTGAGTCTGACCCCGTCTCCCTCTTAAGGTCCCTCGAGGCTGGGTCAGGCCACCGGATCATCCAAGAAACTCTCCCGTCGCGACACCCATTACTGACCTGCAAATTCCCTTCTGCTGCATGGGATGATACCTGCGCAGGCCCCAGGGGATTTGGGGGGACCATCTTGGAGGGTCATGTTCTGTCCGCCACGTGGGCGTTCGGACAAGCGTGTCTTGGGGACATCTTCAGGACGTTACTTAGCTGAGCACAGGGACTTCCCACAGCATCTCATACTGTGTTATTTGTAACTTTTAAGTTTCTACGTAAAGGAAAAGTCAATTTTTTAAAAGATTTATTAATTTATTTTGGAGAGAAAAAGAGGGTCAGAGTGAGGGGAGGGGCAGAAGGAGAGAGAGAGAGAATCCCCAAGCAGACTCTCTGCTGAGTGTGGAGGCCCACGCAGGGCTCGATCCCGTGACCCTGAGATCATGACCCGGACCACATTCAAGAGTCGGACACTCAACCAACTGAGCCACGTGGGCGCCCCAAGGAAAAGTGAATTTTTCTTTATGGGGTCAGATCTGTCTGTCGTTTCGATCATAGCTTTTGCGTTGGGGATCATGCTCAGAGAGACGTACCCATATGTTCCAACAGAACTGTATGGTTTCATCGTGCGTGAAGATCTGTGAACAGTCTGGGATACACTGGACAGGACATAGGACACAGGAATCTCACCTGATTTCCACTGTTAGCCACGTGCCGGGTGGACCCTTTTGTCCCCTGACCGGGATGCTTCCTTATAGTACCTGAAATTGGTAGAATTGTGTCCGTCTCTGAGCGCAGTGTTGCGATCCGTTGATGAGTGGACTGTGCAACAGCGTGTGTCTGACTGATATGGCACGTTTATTTATTTATATGGCACGTCCCTATACAACACGTGTGCATTAGCCCCTCATAGTAAAAGTCCCCCTTTCTCACTCTTCTTTTCAGAGGTTTCTGGGAAACCTTAACGTTTTTTGGTGTGGATGCGTCTGGGGGTGCCTCGCCCAGTCCAGGAGCATGTCCCGGGGTGTGTGGGGTGAGGGTGAACTTTGCACAGGGCCGTCCCCACAGTGACCTCTGGTTTTCCCCACCAGGGACATGCCTAGGGTCACTTGGCTTCTCCTCTGTGTCTGTGTCTCCTCTTCTGTCCCCTATAAGGACACTTGTCATGGGATTTAGGGCCCCCCTGGTCCTGGATGACTCTCCATGCACTCAGCTGCCGGCGGCAGGTTCCGGGGGGTTGTGCGTTTTGGGTGACGACCCACGCCGGTGCTGTGTGTGTTCTCCATGTGAGCTCGGAGCACGCAGCGCAGGAAGAGGCTCCCGGAAAAACGGCCCCCGCGTTTGCTTGCAGGAAGCCACGACACCATGACCTACTGCTTGAACAAGAAATCGCCCATCTCCCAGACCCAGTCCCGGCTGCTGCAGCTTCTGGGCAAGGTCCTGCCATGTGTGACCCGCCCCGTGGTGCTCAGGTGGTCCATTACCCAGGTACGGGTCAGCAGCGGGGGTGACCAGCGTCATCCGGCTGGGGAGGCGCCCTGATCCCTGTGTGTCGGGGAGTGGAATGGAAAACAGGCCCCAGACCAACCCACCGGACATACACGACCGCCCACTGCCCAGTCGTGAAGACGAGGGGCTCTGCAGTTTGGAGGCAGATGGGGCGGGAGGCCAGTGTCTTCAGCCTCCAGGTTACATTTAAGAGCCCGTCAGTCCTGGGAAAACACCCCCGAGCTGTGCAACTGTCCAGACGTCTGTTTGGAGATTTACACGCCTGTGAAAAAGATGAGAGAGAACCGCAGTGACCGGGTTCTGCAGGGAATACGCAGGGAAAGGCAGGGAGGGGGTGTGTGCAGGGAAATGCAGGGAGGGTGTGTGTGCAGGGAGGGGTGTGTGCAGGGAAAGGCAGGGAGGGGGTGTGTGCAGGGAAAGGCAGGGAGGGCTGTATGCAGGGAAATGCAGGGAGGGGGTGTGTGCAGGGAGGGGTGTGTGAGGGGAAAGGCAGGGAGGGGGTGTGTGCAGGGAAAGGCAAGGAGGGGTGTGCGCAGGGAGGGGTGTGTGCAGGGAAATGCAGGGAGGGGGTGTGCGCAGGGAAAGGCAAGGAGGGGGTGTGTGCAGGGAAAGGCAGGGAGGGGTGTGTGCAGGAAAAGGCAGGGAGGGGTGTGTGCAGGGAAAGGCAGGGAGGGTGTGTGTGCAGGGAAAGGCAAGGAGGGGTGTGCGCAGGGAGGGGTGTGTGCAGGGAAATGCAGGGAGGGGGTGTGCGCAGGGAAAGGCAGGGAGGGGGTGTGTGCAGGGAAAGGCAGGGAG